GCACTGAAATTCTCGCTGGAGTGCGCCCAGCGGTCAGCGCCGCCGCGGACGCGTCGGTCGCGCCAAACTAGCCGGCCGCTGCGCGCGCTTGAGTTGGCGCGGCCGTAGAGATGCACCAGCCGGCGCCGAGCTCTCATCACAATCGCCGGCGCATGGGTTCTGTACGCAGAGTTGCGGGTGGGAGGGTGGGATTTTTGCAGGAGCGTTGGGCGTGCCAACCCGCCTGTTAAAATTAGGTCCCCCTTCGACAAGAAGAACGGGCCCCCCGCAGTTAACGGGGCGCCTTTTCGTATTGCAATTTACATGGGATTCTGCGCCATCGCCCATTCTAAATATGAGTTCACATTCTCCCAGCCAGGCCGGCATCGCCCCCCCCGCCATCCTTTGCCAAAAACACGATGCGCGCGCATCTTCATTTTACGAAAGCAAACTTCAAGAATCCCTTGCAACAAATAGCCAATGGTTTTCGAATTTATTGCCCGCGCGCTCGTGCTAAAATCATACAGCAGCCATCGGAATCTTATGAACTCGGCCCGATCCAGCGATTTTTTGTCACCGCGCGGCGCGCCCGGGATATTCCTGCCATGCGCCGAGGGCGCGAATTCCTTACACAAAAAAATACCGCGCGGGCCACATGCGCGCACCGCCGCGCGCGCGTGATCAGTCTGACGGACTTGTCGATTCTTCGTGCGCGCGGATTTCCATCCCAACCTTGTCAGCAGCACTGCGATCACCTGCCTCATTGACAGATGGACATCAGCATCGTCAGCGTGTTTGCCATTATTGGCGCCGTTGCCGTTCGCGCCGTCTTCCTTATGAACATCGTTGTCGCTGGTGCCATTTTCGTCATTGTCGCAGACGTTGCCGACGTCATCTTGTCATCGCGCACGTCCGAGCATCGTCGATCTGCTCGCTATCATCGCCGACTCACGGTGACGAGCACTGGCAGTGAGGATGCTATCATCGATGTCTTCATCTGTGGCGCCGCCGCCCCCCGCATCGGGAGTTTTGCCAAACGCGTTGTCGGTGGGAGGGCGAGCAGTGGAGATGACGAGCTCAAGTACAGCATGGTGGATTGCACCGTGTAGATTGCACCACACCTGTAGCCCCACAGCCATTGCATTAGACAGAGTCTCCTCTTCTAGCGAGGAAATAGGTTCTACCACCCTCCCCCGCCTGGAGTTTTCGATTCCCCGGGGGCCTGCGCAAAACGCTCATGTTTCTGACCCAATGTCCATCCTACCTGTGAATTCATACTATCTCAGCCAGACCGGCATCGCCACCCCCTCGGTTCCCTTTCAACAAATTGCATGTGCGCGCGCTCGTTCATCAAAAAATCACAGATGTCCAAGAATCCTTTGCAACATATGCAACGAGATGCACCCGCGCGCGTCGTCGCGCGCGCATGCCAGAATCTGTCAAAAACTTTTCGGTTCCGGAAGGATTCCATCCAACATCGAGTGTCCAGCCAAAACAAAACAACATGGTTTCGCAACACGGGTGTTCAACAAAAGCGTGCGCGCGCGCGTTCTTATGAGTTTTGAAGAGATCCATGCGTTTGTTAACATTTCCATAGCATGCTACCCAACGGGCTTCGCGCGCGCATGTCGAAATCGTTCGAACGCCCTTGCGCGAGTGCCGGGGTGGCACGACTCGTGTCAAATAGTATCATGAGGCCACTTTCGCGCGTCTGCCGCGCGCGAGTGTCGAATTCTTACAAAAACCTTCATCACTGACGCGAAGAAACGCCGTTATCGTCGCCGGCGTGATCAGCATTGGCGCCGTCACTGGCTGCCCCGTCGTCGTTTCGAGCATCGTGACAAGCAGCGCTACCACCATCACCGTGTCTACCGGTGTCGACGTTGCTATGATACCGCGCCCGCCGGAGTCGCTGACTCGCACTGAAGTGCCCGCTGGGATGCGCCGAGCGGTCACCGCCACCTCGGTCGCGTCGGTCGCGCCAAAGTAGCTGGCCGGTGCGCGCGCGTGCTGAAATTGGCGCGGCCGCAGAGATGCACCGGCCACCACCAAGCCCTCATCACAATCGCCGCCGCATGGGTTTTGCAAACCAAATTGCGGGTGGGTCGGCCAAATGATTGCGCGAGCAGTGGAGTTGACAACGGCAAGTGTGTTGTTCCCCGCAGTTCGTTCCCCATATTACACCACGTAGTTTGCACCACATAGCTTCCACCACGTAGTTCGCACCCAATATACGTTTCATAGCGTAATTTGCATTTCATAGACTGCACCACACGCGTTGCACTATCCAGTATGCTGGAGCACGCTGCTGCGGGTCCGCGTTGGTCAACCCATCGAATCCATGTATATATATATATATATATATATATATATATATATATATATATATATATATGTACATACATACATGCATACGTACACGCGTGTGAATATATGCATATATATATATGTATATGTATGTGTATGTATGTAGATGTTGACATGTGCATGTACATGTACACGTATATACACATGCCTTTTTTTCATATGCATATGTGTATTGATATGCGTGCATGGATTTGTATACATAAGTGCAGGTACTTTATCTTATCGTTGTATATGCATATGTGCATATGTATATACACATACGTATACATATGTACGTATACACGGAACCTCCCCGCAGTAACGTTCGTGCACGTTTGGCCGGCGCGGAGGAGCACGATCCGCAGACTGCCGCGCCGGGTCCCCCGCCCCCCGCAGGTGCGCCAGCGTGCCGGCCTCCTGCCCGCGGACCTCGCGGCGTTGCGGGGTTTCTGCGAGACGGATCTTGCCGGCGGCGACTGCGCGCGCAAGGGGTCGAAAACGACCGAATTGCAGTCGAAGAACAACAAATTGTAGACATACATGTTCTGAGTTCCGCGCGGATTTGTTAGATCTTGGAGGGGCGATGCCCCTGGCGCGCTCCGCGCGCCACGGGGTGGCGCCCAGCGCAGATACGAGAAACCTGCGCGGACCTGCAAAACTTGTTGTTTATGCCGTGTTTGTTCCACTCCCATGCATGCCCATCGGTCGTTGAAAGTGGGTCGTCTGGGTCCCAGATCCCAGTGTACTTCAGGCGTTTTCCTGCTTCCATCGTCGAGCGGTGTTCCCTGCTCTCCCGATTGTTGTGGGAGGGCAGAGACCCACTCTATCGGCAACGCCTTCCTATTTCATGGATCGGGCCTGTCCCTCTACAGGAGGAATATCCAAACATAATTTCAAAAGAATGGTCTGGGGACGATGATCCTAGTATGTTGTGACTATGTTTGGATATGCTTTGACTATGGTTTATTTTTCGACCAAAATCCGACTGTAGGGGGACATGCCCGACCTGATTCTACCCACTTCTTCCGACCAAAGGGTAGACATCAGTGTTCGACGGTCCGCGCGCATTCCTAGGATCGGCGGTGCCCCCCCCTCCCTGTCCAGAGGGGGCGCTGCCAGGGGGGCCCAGCGCCGATCCGAGAAATCTGCGCGGACCCCCGAAAGTTTAGGTCCATGTCATTGTTTGCTCCCTCACAGTGGGGGGCCATGCCAAGAAAATGCCCTGCTTGCTTCCAGGATGCCCTGGGTTTCTTGGGTTTCGATGGTTTTGCTGTGGAAGGCGTGACGCTCCCACGCCAAAGACCAATGGACGTCCTGGGGTTTCAGGGCTGGGTTTCTTGTGGAAGGTTTCTTGTGGACTAGCCTCCGCTGTGTTTGCTCCCCTAACAAGACAGCGTGAGCATGCGTGAAGTTCGCGTCGCGTCGGCCAGCGGCGACCCCCCGCGTGTTCCCAGCGTCTCGTGCCATGCTGGGGCCCCCTGGGAACCTCTTGGCCTCGCGAGGGAGGAGCTCTGGAAGCCGTCTGTGCCTCCCTGGAACAACTGGGGCCACCTTGGGCTAAGTCGGGGCTGTCCCTCTACAGGAGGAATGTTCAAAAATAGTCCAAGAATAGTCTGGGGACGGCTTTTGATCATTTTTGGCTATGTTTGTGCATTGTTTGATTTTTGTTGTGTCCAAGCTCCGCCTGTAGGAGGACATGCCCGACCTAATCCTTGGGCCAGGGCCACTGCAAAACAACAGCCGAACAGTGTCTGAACCATGGTACTTGCAAAAGTTCGGGAGGTAGTAAGGGTAACCGCCTTGGGTTGCCTTGGATCTGGGTATGGCTCTCCGCGACGTGCTTCACTGCCTGACATTCAGGCATTCCTGACATCCGTGGAATTCAAACATTTCCGACATTCGATGCACTCATCCACGCGTGCGTTCCGCAGGGCTTTCTTGAAAGGTCAGCGGCGGCGGGGGCCACCCTCGGCAGCTGCATTTCGCGGGGAACCGTCGCGGTGCAGTGGAGCGATCGCTGCCCCCTGGCAGTGACTGCACCTGCAGTCGGGGCGCCGACCCAGGGAACCCTACATGAGGCACGATGCCGCTTTTCTCCACGCACTGAGCTTCGATTTCCCGTGGGAAACCTGAGGAAAACCTGAGGCAAGCCGTGAAGCAACTGAGGCACAGCAGAGGCCGAGAACGGCCCCCGACAAAGCCGCTCCTCCCTCCTCCTTCTCCTCCTCCTCCTCCTCCTGTCTCCCCAACGAAAAGGGCTCCTTGGTCAGCGCCCCGGCTGTACGGGTCCTTCCGGCGGCTCCTCCTTGCGCCCGTGTGGGGGGGGGCGCCTCGGGGTGGGGGGAGCCCCGCGTGCGGCCGGGCGGGTCCGCCAGGGCTCCGCCTGGTGCCCCCGGTGGGTGCCCTGTCCCGGCAGCGCTCGGACGCGTGCCTTTTTTTTTTTTTGTTTTCCCCGGCGACGACCCTCGATGAGCACTCCCCAGACATGATCGCGTGGTAAAAATTAGCCTGGCGAAGGACCCAACCATATGCAGTTGTGAGTAATGCTGGTGTGAGTACCGTCTTCGGTGGATCTCCCTATGGGGCCACGAACCGTTTGAGGGGTGTGCCGAAATGGGTGTGGGGGCGGCATGCGAACGTTGCCACTGGGGCCTTCGGTGGAGCTCCTTATGGGGCCACGAAACGTGTGAGGGGTGCACCGAAGTTGGTGTGGGGGCGGCATGCGAACGCAGCCACTGGGGCCTTCGGTGGAGCTCCCTATGGTGCCACGAAACGTGTGAGGGGTGTGCCGAAATGGGTGTGGGGGCGCATGCGAAACCAGTCACTGGGGCCTTCAGTGGAAATCCCCATGGGGCCACGAAACGTGTGAGGGATGTGCCGAAATGGGTGTTGGGGAGGCATACGAACCAGGCCACTGGGGCCTTCGGTGGAGCTCCCTATGGGGCCACGAAACGTGTGAGGGGTGTGCCGAAATGGGTGGTGGGGAGGCATGCGGACCCTGCCACTGGGGCCTTCGGTGGAGCTCCCTATGGGGCCACGAAACGTGTGAGGGGTGTGCCGAAATGGGTGGTGGGGAGGCATGCGACCCTGCCACTGGGGCCTTCGGTGGAGCTCCCTATGGGGCCACGAAACGTGTGAGGGGTGTGCCGAAATGGGTGGTGGGGAGGCATGCGGACCCTGCCACTGGGGCCTTCGGTGGAGCTCCCTATGGGGCCACGAAACGTGTGAGGGGTGTGCCGAAATGGGTGGTGGGGAGGCATGCGGACCCTGCCACTGGGGCCTTCGGTGGAGCTCCCTATGGGGCCACGAAACGTGTGAGGGGTGTGCCGAAATGGGTGGTGGGGAGGCATGCGACCCTGCCACTGGGGCCTTCGGTGGAGCTCCCTATGGGGCCACGAAACGTGTGAGGGGTGTGCCGAAATGGGTGGTGGGGAGGCATGCGGACCCTGCCACTGGGGCCTTCGGTGGAGCTCCCTATGGGGCCACGAAACGTGTGAGGGGTGTGCCGAAATGGGTGGTGGGGTGGGGCCTTCGGTGGAGCTCCCTATGGGGCCACGAAACGTGTGAGGGGTGTGCCCTGCTGGGGCCTTCGGTGGAGCTCCCTATGGGGCCACGAAACGTGTGAGGGGTGTGCCGAAATGGGTGGTGGGGAGGCATGCGGACCCTGCCACTGGGGCCTTCGGTGGAGCTCCCTATGGGGCCACGAAACGTGTGAGGGGTGTGCCGAAATGGGTGGTGGGGAGGCATGCGGACCCTGCCATTGGGGCCTTCGGTGGAGCTCCCTATGGGGCCACGAAACGTGTGAGGGGTGTGCCGAAATGGGTGGTGATGATGGTGATGATGATGATGATGATGATGATGATGATGATGATGATGATGATGATGATGATGATGATGATGATGATGATGATGATGATGATGATGAGGGAGGAGGGGGAGGAGGAGGAGAAGAGGAACGCGGGGCACCGTCTCTTCAAAACGAGGACCCAACACCACAGGATGGTTGGGAAAAAGTCAGGACGGGGGGTGTTTGGCTATTTTCGGCCCCGGGGGGCCCTCGCCGGGCCTGGGGACTGTCAACAAACGATTCAATACGAAAAACCTGTCCCGGGGAAAGGGTCGGGACTTCCAGGGACGCCGTCCTGAAAAAATCAGGACGTCGCATGTCCAAGTCTTAACCATCCAGCGACAAAGACGCGCGCGAGATCGAGGAATGCTCGGGGCATGGACGCCCGAGCGATGGCGAGTTGTGCGCGGCCGGCGTGCGCCGGTGGGCCCGGCCGAGGCCTCGCCTGGATGCCCGCCGGTGGCGTGCCCGCGTTCGCCTCGCTGAGGCCGTGGCGAAGCGTCCCGGCTCGCCTGGAGGCCCACCTGAGAATGTAACGTGTAACGCGGGGCCTATAAAGGCTAAAAGGGAGCCCACTGAGGGCCCAGGCCCCACTGAGAGGCCCTAGCCCAAAGGGGCCGTCCCAAGACAGGGGGCGGGCCTCAAGGGACCCCTAGAGCCCAGACGAGCCGCAGGAGGCTGCCTCCAGGGCGCATCGGCCCCGAGGCACTGCTCGGCCCGTCAGCTCAGGACCCCGTCAAGGGGCATCAGCGCGAAGCGCTGGAATATATATATATATATATATATATATATATATACACACACAAACATGCAAACATTCGATGGGCGACGCCCCAAACATGCTTGCACTGCCCCAGGCGGCACGGCGAGGCAGGGGAGGCGCAAGAATCTTCACGCCCTCGCGCCGAGGCCCGCGGCCACCAGGGGTCCCACACGCAGTGGAAGGACAGGAGGAGAACGCAGAGGGAGGACAGGAGGAGAGGCAGGCTGGCGCTCCACAGCCAGGAGCAGCGAGAGCTCGGCACACGCGCGTTCGCGCGGACCGAGCGCCCCAAAGCTGGGGCCAGCCAGGACTCAATCACCTCCATCACCGTCATCTCTGCGCCGCTTCCTGCTCTGTCGCTCAGCTCGGGCCTCCTCGGCCTCCGCAGCCCAGCTCTGAAGGCTCTCCTCATCGAGGCCATAGGCTCCCAGCCAGGCCTGCCGCGATCCCGCGCCCGCCGCGGCACCTCCAGCCGCCACAGGCGCCTCTGTCGAGGAAGAGGCCGCACCGCCAGCGCCGCCCCCAACAGCGCCAGCCACCGAGGCGGAGCGCTCTTCGCCTGCTGGGGCATCAGGCTGGACCCCGAGCCACTTCAGGAAGCGCACCCTGGCGTCCTGCGGCACCTCGGCCTCCTTGCGAAGGCGGGGGGCCTCCGCCCCCTTCGTCCGCGTGTTGCGGACGTGCGGCGTGCCCCCAGGGTGGAGGCCACGCTCCCACCGCGACTTCTGGTCCCGCAGCGACTTGGGGAGGCCCGTTGCACCAGGACAACGCTCCTTCAGCTTGGGCTGCGTGCCAGAGCGCCCGCCAAGCCTCGCATACGCTCCGCACTTGGTGCACGCGATGATCTCCTGCTCGGCGCCGTCCTCACCGCACCTGGCGTACGCGAGGGTGTGCCCAGCGAAGGCGAAGACCAGGGCGCCCAGAGCCACTCCGCCGTCGCGCGCCGGCCCACCTGAGAATGGTCTGAGAGCCTGTCGTGTGGTCTGCGGGCTGTGCTTCTATGCATATCCAGAGCGTCGTGGACTTTTTGGAAAAGGGGTGCCGCAACGCCGAGGCGCACTGGATATGGATAAGATCAAGCCTCTTGGGGCCAGATGTTTATCCATATCCAGTGCGTCTACTGTTTCTGGGGAAGAGAGCCCAAGAATCCAAGACGCACTGGATGTGGATATAACTCTTGCCCGCACGGTCTGCATGCGATGTTCCCAGAACAGTTCTGGTCGAGACCGTCATGTTTCGACACATCGGTTTTTATGTTCCGAGGACATGTTTATTGTTATTCGAACGCGTTTGGGCTCTAAGAACTCTTCGTCTTAGGCCTGTAGGACTGCAGGGACGGTCGGTCCCTGGTCAACTCGTGGGCGCCTCGTGGGCGGCTTGTGTGCTGGGAGGGTCAGCCGAGGTTCCGGCTGTGGCCCGCCCGTGGGCGCCTCGTGGGCGCCTCGTGTGCTGGGCGGGTCCGCCGAGGTTCCGCCCGGTTCCCGCCAGTGGGCGCGTCGTGGGCACATGGGGCGCCGGGCGGCGGCATTGCCCAGCTTGCACCACAGATCTTTCACAGATCAACTTACACATGAACTACCCTTCGGTCGGGCGTGTCCCCCTACAGTAGGGAGATCCACAATTAGTCAACAAAAATAGTCTGGGGACGATTTTTCGGCTATGTTTGGTACATTTGTTTTGCGGGTATTTCTGAATATTTTCATTGTTCGTCCAAAATCCGCCTGTAGGGGGACGTGCCCGAGTTAAAACTACCCCCTTTCAAACAGAATGGCAGAGTCCCCCCCCCCTCTGCATCTGCATCGGCGTCACCTGCATCTGGGCCGTCATTGGCCTTGCCCTCGTCACAGTCATCATCGCCACCTCCATTGCTACTATCATCGGTCTCGCTGTTACCGACGTCGTCATGATATCGCGCCCGCCCCGGTCACCGACCCGCATTGAGGTGCCCGCGCGCCAGCGCGGCCTTTGAGACGCGCGGGGAAGTCCCCATCGCATCGCGGCCGCATCATCTGTGCCAAAGCAGCTGGCCGCTCTGCGCGCGAGCTTGCGCGCGCTAGCGCCTGCCGCAGAGATGCGCCAGCCAGGGCCAAACGGTCATCGCAATCGTGGCCGCATGGGCTGTGCAAAACAAGTTTCCGGTGGGAGGGTGGAATGGTGGCGCGAGCTGTGGAGATTGCAAGTCATGGGTTGGCCAATCTCAATTCCACAACGTACCTCGTAGGTGGCACAACGTAGTTCATATGTTCACATGTCAATACGTATGTTTATGCATATGCGTTGTATATATCTGTATATACGTTCAGAGGGTTTTTTGTTTTTAATGTATGTGTACCTCTTAACATATGTATGTTTCTCACCATCACTGTCTAGGGTTCGCACTGTCGAACGCGCTTGGACAGTGGATTCGCATGTCAGAATCTCGCCTGATCGATTCAGAGCATAGTTGCCTGTCCGTCCCCATTCGTTCGAGTGCCGAGACACAGCACCTGCAATTCGTTCCGACAGCACTGCTTCAAGTTTACAGCGTCGCGTCCTCGAGCGAGTCGATGGCGTTCTGTGGCACGGCTGCGCTCAAGCGCAAAATCAATCGATAGTTGCCGCGCTGCTTTTTGCCACGGCCCGTCCATCGATGTTCAGACCCATTCGCATGATCTATAGTTGCCTTGATTCTGCATTCATGATATTGACGGCCGTGTTCTTGTGTCGCCCTCTGTGCCTTGACAAACCAATGATTTTGCGAAGAAGGTAAGTACGCCGGCGAAGGACGTATGTAGTCTTGCCAGCAGGGGAGTAGAGAGGCCTCGACGGTAGAGAGTTCGCACGTGTGCCATGAAGCATGCTTCTTGCATTCGGTTCTCGTGTCCGAATGCCAGACGCGTAACCCTGCAATGCTGATCCCGAGGCGACGGCGATAACAACAACGGTCAGGACGACGTCCGCTCGATAGAGCAGCGTTTTGCCATAGCAGGAGCCGGGGTACTGGGTCAGGTGCGGTTCTGCGCACACCGCTTCAGGCAGACATAAGAGTGGAGTCAAGGGTTTGTTTTCCTCCTACTTACCCATTGGTCGTTGAAAGTAGGTATTTCTGGATTCCAAGATCCCAATCTACTCTAGGCACCTTCCTACTTCAATCCTCGAGAGTGTTTCCTCTTCCTTCCCCTTCAGGGGGCGGGCGGAAGTCCAGTGCACAGTGGGAAACACCCTGCTTTCCTCCAGTGTGCCCTGGGTTTCTTGGATTTCGATGGTCTGTCTGTGGAAAGCGCGACGCTCCCACACAAACAAAAATCAATGGACGCCCTGGGGTCTCAGGGTTGGGTTTCTCTCCGAGGGTTTCTTGTGGTCGAGCTTCTATTGTACCCTTAAGTCGGGCCTATCCCCCTACAGGGGGATTTTCGACGAAAAATATGTTTTAAAAATACCCCCAAAAGACCAACAAGTACTCAAACAATAGTTCCCCGGACTATTTTTACCTCACAGCGAAGACTGATAGGTTTCTAGTAGTGTCAAAAGAGAGCATCATGACTCCCCAGGGGGGTCTGGGCGGCATCCGGACAGGGATCCGCGGAAGTCGTTTTAAGCACACAGTTACACACTTCGTGGTCTTCGAGGTCCCAGAACTCAATTCCCGGGCCACATTATGAATGCCCGGAGCCAATTGTAGGCCACTTCGTGCTCTTCGAGTTCCCAGAACTCCATTCCCGGGCCACATTTTGAATGCCCGGAGCCAATTGTAGGCCACTTCGTGGTCTTCGAGTTCCCAGAACTCCATTCCCGGGCCACATTTTGAATGCCCGGAGCCAATTGTAGGCCACTGCGTGGTCTTCGAGTTCCCAGAACATCATTCCTGGGCATGATTTTGAATGCCCAGAGCTAACTGTAGGCCACTTCGTGTTCTTCGAGTTCCCAGAACTCCATTCCCGGGCCAACATTTTGAATGTTGAGGCAGGCTGATGCTGAGGCTGAGGCAGGCTGAGGCTGAGGCAGGCTGAGACTGAGGCCGAGGCTGAAGGCAGACTGAGGCTGAGGCTGAAGCAGGCTGAGGCTGAGGCTGAGGCAGGCTGAGGCTGAGGCTGAGGCAGGCTGATGCTGAGGCAGGATGAGGCTGAGGCTGAGGCTGATGCAGGCTGAGGCTGAGGCAGGCTGAGGCTGAGGCCGAGGCTGAAGGCAGACTGAGGCTGAGGCTGAAGCAGGCTGAGGCTGAGGCTGAGGCAGGCTGAGGCTGAGGCTGAGGCTGAGGCTGATGCAGGCTGAGGCTGAGGCAGGCTGAGGCTGAGGCCGAGGCTGAAGGCAGACTGAGGCTGAGGCTGAAGCAGGCTGAGGCTGAGGCTGAGGCAGGCTGAGGCTGAGGCAGGCTGATGCTGAGGCAGGCTGAGGCTGAGGCTGAGGCTGATGCAGGGTGAGGCTGAGGCTGAGGCCGAGGCCGAGGCTGAAGGCAGCTGAGGCTGAGGCTGAAGCAGGCTGAGGCTGAGGCTGAGGCAGGCTGAGGCTGAGGCTGAGGCAGGCTGATGCTGAGGCAGGCTGAGGCTGAGGCTGAGGCTGAGGCTGAGGCTGAGGCTGAGGCTGAGGCTGAGGCAGGCTGAGGCTGAGGCCGAGGCTGAAGGCTGAGGCTGAGGCTGAAGCAGGCTGAGGCTGAGGCTGAGGCAGGCTGAGGCTGAGGCTGAGGGCTGAGGCTGAGGCAGGCTGAGGCTTAGGCTGAGGCTGATGCAGGCTGAGGCTGCGGCAGGCTGAGGCTGAGGCGGAGGCTGAAGGCAGACTGAGGCTGAGGCTGAAGCAGGCTGAGGCTGAGGCTGAGGCAGGCTGAGGCTGAGGCTGCGGCAGGCTGAGGCTGAGGCTGAGGCTGATGCAGGCTGAGGCTGAGGCTGAGGCCGAGGCTGAAGGCAGACTGAGGCTGAGGCTGAAGCAGGCTGAGGCTGAGGCTGAGGCAGGCTGAGGCTGAGGCTGAGGCTGAGGCTGAGGCAGCTGAGGCTGAGGCTGAGGCTGCAGGCTGAGGCTGAGGCAGGCTGAGGCTGAGGCCGCGGCTGAGGCAAACTCAGGCTGAGGCTGAAGCAGGCTGAGGCTGAGGCTGAGGCAGGCTGAGGCTGAGGCTGAGGCTGAGGCAGGCTGATGCTGAGGCAGGCTGAGGCTGAGGCTGAGGCAGGCTGAGGCTGAGGCAGGCTGAGGCTGAGGCGAGCCGCGACAGATTGAGGCTGAGGCTATGCAGGGTGAGGCTGAAGCAGGCTGAGGCTGAGGCTGAGGCAGGCTGAGGCTGAGGCAGGCTGAGGCTGAGGCTGAGGCAGGCTGAGGCTGAGGCTTGAAGGCAGGCTGAGGCTGACTTGTGACTGCTGACTGCCGTTGCCACTGCGACTGTCATCGCGAATGCGACTACGACTGCGAGAACAGCAGAATTCTACAACTGGATTTTCATCTGAAACTTAAGGGGAATGATTCCAGATATGCTCCTACACATCGCTGTTAGGTTGCTTCGCCGGGATAATTGGATTATTTTGGGATTATTTCTGGGATATCAGTTTTTTTGTTTTCGTCGAAAATCCCCCTGTAGGGGGACAGGCCCGACTTAATTGTACCCTTCTGAGGTCAGGGTCCCCCGGGGCCTTCGACCCCTGTCACGGGACAAGGCTGCCCGCCCCGAGCCCTGCTCCACGACCCGATGGGGTGCCGCTGCTGAGCCTCGAGGGCGCGCCGCGGTGAAGCTCGACGGCCGCCCCGCTTTTCTCCGCGGCGACGCTTCTGATCGAGAGGGGGGTGATGACTAGGGGGGGGTGGATCTCATGGCGTGGGCCGTGATATTTTCCCAGATTTCATGGCGCCTCTTCTGACTTCGTTACGTCCCTGGCCCCCCCCCTCCCGGGGGCCGCGCACGTGCCGCCGGTCCTGATTTGCACCTCCCCCTCTTGGACCCCCCCCCTTGGCCGCTCCAGATCTGAGGACAGGGCGGAGTTTTCACGAAGGAGATGGGGTCCTCAGGAATGCGGGTTTGGGACTCGCCGGGGCCTCCCAGCTCTCCAGGGGTCGTCCTGTCGGCCGCGCCGGGGCCTGTGGGAGGCCCTGAGGGCCTGAGAAGGTAGATTTGTTTGCTTACAGAGCACACCACCTTCCGCGGGGGAAGTAGCGGTCAGCAGTCAGCATCCCACCTGGAGAATTAGGAAAGAAGGGTTCCCGCCAGCGGGTGTCCGGAATCAGGAGATCAGGGGCCCAGAATTCAGGGAAATCACGAGGCATCAGGGGCCCAGCCAGCCCTTGCCGATAGGGGAAAGGAGGGGGAGGAAGATGAGACGAGCGATGCGCGCCCCTCACAGCTGGAGAGTGGCTGGGAGCTCGATCCCGAAGACATCGGTCAACTGTGCCAGGACCCCTTCTCGGGTGCTGCCAGACGATCCCCTGGCACAGGGTGTCTCCAGGACCCCCCCTGCGGCCCCCACGGCCTCCAGCGCACCACCCGTCAGGCCCAGAAGGCCGCAGGGGGCCCAAGATGAAGCGAAGCGCTGGTGGGGGCCACCCTGGACCAGAGACACGCTTCGCAGCCCCCGACGTTCTTCTCCCGGGCCCGCTTCCCTCGTGCCGTTCGTGGGCGAACACACGCATCCGACACCGCGGACACGGGGCGCTCTTGCTCGCGGATGCCCCGCGGCGGAAAGCATCCGTGCGGCCGCAGTGTCCGCGGGATCGTGCCCCCGAACCCAGGCCGCGAGGGCGCGGATGCGGACATGTCCACCGCTCGTGTGCCTCGAGCGCCCGCGGAGGCTTCCGAAGTGGCGTCCGCAGAGATGGGGTCGGAGGTCGCGCCGCACCGGCGATGCATCTGCGATGCATCGGCGACGTCGGCGGTGCATCGGCGACGCCAGCGTGAAGTCGGGCACGTCCCTCTACAGGAGGAATATTCAAAAATAGTCAAACAAATCGTCGGGGGACGATTTTTTGTTATATTGTTGACAATTCTAGGGACATGTTTGGAGTATTTCTTATTGTTCATCCAAACTCCGCCTGTAGGAGGACATGCCCGACCTAACGCTGGCGCTCCGAGGCCGGAAATTATACGTGACCGCCGCCTGGAGGATGAATTCTCGGGGGCACCTCGACATGCGGTGGATATATGCACAGATTCGGGCCCCGGGGTCCAATACATTATATAATATATATATAATATATATATATATATATATTATATATATAAGTAATTTATATATATATATATATATATATATATATATATATCTCCCCCTCTCTCACCATATCCATGTCCGCCGCCCGCTGGGGCACCAGGACGTCGGTTCCCAGGCGGTGGACATGGACAAATACCCGCCTCGTGGGCGCTGAGAAAAGTGGGCCCCGATGCGAGCCGCATCGGCGATCGATGCATCTGCGAGGCGACGCGGTCCTCCGACCCGAGCTACGCGGACCCCATCCTGGGCGCCTTCCACCTCCGCCGGATGCCGACCTCGAATCCGACTCGATCCGTGCAGCCCCCGAGGCGCGAGATTCCGACCGCGACCTCGCCCGATTTGACGCAGGGGCGCTTCGAAGTGGTGGCCGACATCTGTCGACTTCCTGTCAGTTTCACGGCGCCGACATCGCAGAGCGGATTCCGTTCGGAAAACGATGGGACGGGCCCAGAGTGTCCTGGAGAATTTCGCTTCGGATTTCGAGGAGGAATTCCCGCGGATTTTGTTTGGCCAGGAATGAGGACAAAAAAATACTCACTGCGTGGAGCTCCCCATATGTGCATCCCATGTTTTATGTCATGCCGTGGTGAGCGTCCGTTCATGAGCGGTCGACTACAATAGCGCGTCCACGAGGGCGACAGGGCCGACGAAGACGAGTGACCCCTAATGCGAGTGATTGCGTATGAGTCAGAGTGAGCTTTGAGTATGGTTGAATGCGAGCCTCTTCCTCTTCATCCCCCCTTCTCAGCTGCCAGGCCTTCCCTTTTCAGCCCGTGGTAGCTTTGGAGTTTCCCACATGTGCAT